AGGGGGGGGGTGGGGGGAGGGGGGGGGCACTCCCAGACATCATGTTGTGTGAAGATGCGAAGAAGGCGAATCAGTTCCACGTATGCATGCAATCTGTTGCAGCTGACGCCTTGCCGCACCTGTAAATGTGCCCATTCAGCACCATCTGCCCAAACACTCGCAACTGCGCAGCCTCATATGCTGGTTCCAGTGTGACGTACGGCGCATCCCAGTCTGCCCACACGCCGTAGCTGCAAGGAGCAGGCACAGCAAAAATGCCAATCACACATCAGCATGGCACAGAGAGGCGCAGGTGAAAAGTGACGACTGCAGCGCCATGGGGCATACCGTTTAAACTGCTCCCTCTGTGCATCCACAGTCTTCAGCGCAAACTCCGCCGCTTTCTTGCGCAGCTGCAGCGGCGTGAGCGAGCGCCGCTCCGCGTCCTTCATCGACTGCGACGAAACAAACACCAAACATGGGTTGAAGACGTTTGGAGAGGAAAAGCCACAACAAAGCACTATGTCCTGCCCCTCTGGCTGTGCGTCACCTACCTGCAGCACTTTGAGCTCAATGGGCAGGCCGTGGCAGTCCCACCCCGGCACAAACTTGGCCTTGCGACCCTGCACCGCAGAGCATGAACATCGGTTGCTGACCGTGGATGAATGTGAGGGAGCTCATTTGGGTCATGGCGCGCAGATATGGCACAGCAGCATGAGGGTCACAGCAAACAGAGAGAAATGGGGTGAGGGGCCTGCATTGACCCGTGCCACACCTGCAGCAGCTGATATCTGTTGATGATGTCCTTCAGGATCTTGTTCAGCGCGTGGCCTATGTGCAGGTCGCCATTGGCGTATGGCGGCCCGTCGTGTAGCGTGAAGGTGGGCTGCAGGCCTTGCACCAAAAGGAAGGAACAAGGCGGCGGCACTCAGCGGTGGCAGCGGCAGCAGCAGCAGCAGTGGGGCGTTCCAGACGGGTAGGCAGGGCTTGCTGCAGCGTTGAGACACAGACAAGAGAGGCGAGCTGCTGCAGTGCGGCGCCTAGCAAGACGATACGATCAGGAAGGCAGCAGCGCAGGCCACGGCATGTGGGCGGGTGTGGGTATTCCCTGCCTGCCCAGGTCAGGGTTGGCTGCGCACCCCGGGGTTGGCCCTGCTGAGCTGCTCGTAGATCTTGCTTTCCTGCCAGAACTGCTGTAGCTGCGGCTCCCGAACCACGGAGTTGGCCCGCATATCAAACTTGGTTGCCGGCAGGTTGACCGTCTTGCTATACACGCCTGCAGTCAGGAAGGCATGAGCGGGCAGGATGGGGGTTGTTGCAGCGACCGGCCAAGGCAGTGCATGCCAGACGCATGGTTGCAGCGGCAGCCTGGGCGTGCCCCCCCCACTGCACATGACAGCTGCAGGCTGGGGTGGCCACTGCTGCCAGCATCCTTCTGCTTGGCCCACTGCAGGTTGCTGCTGCTGCCTATATTCAATGTCGCTGCCTGATTCTGGTATCGCTGCTCACTCTCTTCCGCATCCTTCTTGCGCCCCTTGGATGCCAGGCAACGTAGTGGAACGCGACTGATGCCGGCATAGCCGGGCCGCGCTGCGCGCAGGGCCGCAGGGGCCCTGCACAGGCTACTGAGCATGCCGCTCTGGCTGCTGCTTCTCAGGCACTGCATCAGGTAAGGGTAAAATGAGCAATGGAGCAGCCTACAAGGAATGCGTAGCAGGGGCTGAACAGACGGCGGCGGCGGCAGCGGAGCTGTGGACCACCTCACCTCTTGGCGACCGCCGCACCGTGCTGGCCGTAGATTGGCTGCAGCGAGCAACATGTAGCAGGTGCCCCGGGGCCTGGCTTCAAGCTTCACCCTGCACCTCACAGCGGGATGCCTGCACCACCACCTGAGTGCCAAGCTGTTGCAGCGCCCTTGTAGAGCAAATGCACCGGCAGGGAATACCTGCGCGTGGTGGAGGAGGTCGAGCCATGCTGCGTGGCGTGCACCTGCTGCGAATGCTGGCGCAGGGGGCGGTTGAAGGGGGCTTCACCACTCTCCGACGAAGTGTGCGATCAGCGTGGCACCACCAGCAGACTTCAGAGGTGGTGGCCCCCCCTGCTGCAATGGTGGTGGCGCGTGTGGGCGGCTCCCTGCGCCCCGTCTTCCTGTGCACGTCGGCTTTGGTGGCGACCGTGTGCCTGACGGTCTACATCATGCAGAACAGCGGTGTTTGCAGCCTCCACACTGCCGCCCTGTTCCGGGCTCAGCGGCCGCTGGGCGGGGTTGCCACGCCCGCAGGGCTGCTGGCAGATGGGGCAGCGCAGCAGCGCAGCTCCCCGCGCACCTGCCCTAGCACACAGGAGGTCCAGGCCTCGGCCTGGGCACAGAGCTGCTATCTGGTGACCAAAGTGTGCGTGGACCGAGGTAAGCAGCGGTGGCGACGGCAGCAATACACGTGGTTCAGCGTGCTTCAGCAGTGCCCTATCGTCTGCTGTGCCTGGGTGCACCTGATGCCAGGGTTGCGTGCATTCCTCTGGAGACCAGGAATGTGAGGAAGCCTTGCTCAATGTCCGGCATTATGCAGGCATGCTGGTGCTCTATGACGATCGCTACCAGCCTGGGGCGCGTGGCGGCGGCAAGGAGCCACCCACGTATTCTGCAGAGGAGAACTACGGCCAGTACATCTATGTGTACCGCAATGGGGTGAGGAATCGATTGTCCATCCTTTGTCATGCGCATGGCACCGGTCGTGCCACGGCGGGCCCTCCTGCCAGCCTTAGCTCTCATCTGCAAACTGTTGCTCTGATGCTCGCCTGCGCGTATGCAGGGCATCAAGTATGGCTACCCTCTGGACACCATTCGCAGCCGGGCAGCCAGCATCAATGAGGGCGCCGACTATCTGCAAAGCCCGGTTTTCTCCAACTGCACCGTCCCCATTGTATGGTACCCCTTTTGGATGACCAACTTTGGCCACTTCCTTAGAGGCAAGGCAGCGCTGGTGTTGAAAGCGATGCCTCATTCCTGCCGTCCGCACCTTTCATAAATTGCACTGGCCCCTTTGCTGTGGTGCCCATCTGCAGATAATGCTGCCAAGCTTTTCGGATTTATTGAGGACACGCCCTGGGCCGACAACATCAAGCTGGTGCCCATGACAGCAGAGGGGCTTGCGCTGCCAGGGTTCAACTACGACCTTCTGCAAACGATGTCGTCTTTCAGGGTGGAAACATGGGCAGACTTCACATCCCGACTGGTGAGGTGCCCAGGGTGCATGCAGGGGCTGGCTGGCGCTGCAGGGTGGTGTTGGTCATCGCCTGCTGTTGGTCATCGCATGCTGTTATTGCTGCTCCTTGCCAGTGCCTTTTTTCGCAAGCAGCTGCTTCCGTCCAGGTTCATGTGGTGCCTCCTTCCGCTGCTGCTCGCAGCCTCCTGGAAGTGCCTCCTTTGTCCAGCCGGGGACGCCCCCCAGCGCCGAGGGGGACCACCAGCGCTGCTTCCAAAACATGTTTGTGTGCACGCACGGCCTGACCATCACTCGCTGGCCGTTGCACGGCTTTGGGCGGCACGTGGTCCAGGCCTACCGTCACATGCTGCCGCCAGAGGTGCAAGCGCTTGGCGCCGTCAGCAGCATTGTGCCGCCGCAGGCGCGCCCTGGCAGCAGTAGCACAGATGGTGGTGTAGCCACCGTTTTGAACGTTGTGTTCCAGAAGCGGGCAGGAGACACACGCCAGCTGCTCAATTCGGGGGAGCTGCTGCAGCGGTGCAACCAGTGGCGGTATCGCACGGCGGCTGGCCGGCAGCTGGGCGCCAAGTGTTGGGAGGTGATTGGGCATAGCTGTGAAGCACCTGTCAGCCTTCCGCCGGCCATCCCTCGCTAATGCACATGCCTGTTGCTCCTCACCATGCGGACACACTGTGGCTTGGGGCAGGCTGAATGCTGCTACCAGCTGGGGTGTGAGGGTGGCTCCCTATTGCTGCAAACAGGTGGAGATCACCGACTTGGTGAGCGGCATGACGGCTGCGCAGCTGGCAGACGTGTTCGTGGGCGTACATGGCGCTAATTTGGCAAATGGCTGGCTGATGCGGCCTGGCAGCAGCATGCTGGAGGTGCAGCCATATGGCTTCGATGCCCACGTGCCTCACCTGCAGGACCCTCTGTTCAATGCCGAGGTGAGGTGGCGCAGCAGCAGCAGAACTTGCCAAGGTCACCGTATTCAGGAGGTGTGCCAATTTGCTGTCCTTCTGGCAGCCCGGCACCCTGCGTGGTGAATCACCAGCGGGCTGCAATTCAGCAGCAAGCCGACCACATCTGCGTGCTGGGGGCTGTCACCCCATTGACTTTCTTGTGTTTCCGCAGGACAAAGACTCCCAGGTGTTGTGGTGGGTGCTTATGGGCTGCGACCCCGCTGCCTGGCGGCCCTCGCCCATGGAGGCGGCGGCCAGGGGCGAGGAGTCAAATTGGGCAAAGAATCGCAACATGGTACTGCGGTGGGAGGCGCTAGAGATGGCATTGCAGCAGGTAGGGGGAGGTAGGGGGGATGTTTTCTGTAGTGCAGCATGAACCTAAGCAGCGTAATGCCACAGTAGCAGCAACGACGGTTGAACGCCACCACACTGAGCCCCGGTTGGTTGCTACCTCTGGTGCCGCAGGTGGCCGAGACAGGCGGCGACATGCAGCGGTACTGGCAGCTGTGGGACAAGGGCGAGTGGTGGTGGCATGTTGGCCCCAAGAATATCACGTTTGGCGGCCACTACAGATCCAAATGCTCGCAGTAGCGTAGCTTTGCCGCATGTAACTCTCTCTTGGGTATGCCACGGCTCATGGTTGTGATGATGCAACAGTGTTGGCCCAGCACGAGATGGAAGCATGTGGGCGGCGGAGACGAGTAGAGGGTGCGGTGGCTCATGGCTCCTCTATGCCTTCTGCTTTTTCACTCATTCTGGTTGCAAGTTCAAAATGCACATCACAACCTGATCCAACAACACAGTGATCACATTGCATGATGAGTTGTAGGGAGCAAACAGATCCAGCGGGGCGTCATGACACAGCCGCCAGGCTGTCTCGACAGATCCTGTTCAGATCCCTGTCCTCTGAGCCTTCCTGCCTTCTATCTTTTCTCCTCGGTGCACGCCACGAATCCTCCAGCGCTGGGCTGTCTGCCCGCCTGCTTTCATCGTTCAACCTCTGTGCTGGCTTGCAAAAGCATGGCCCGCTGCTGCCGCGGGCGGAACAGTTGTGCATGAAGCTGGAGGACAAGGGTAGGGGAAAGGCGAAGACCTCCCTTTGGAACATTGTCGCCGTAGCCCTCGATTTTTCAGGTTCGCGACAATGCTTGTGGGTGGGGCGAGTGAGAGTCTACGTGCACGGCTGAGCTTGCTGGCCCGCGCTGCTGCTTGGGACCTTCCGCCACCCAACCCCGCTCCAACCGACTGCGCGGCGTGTGCAGGCCCCCCGCGGATGTTCAAGGCAGGGTCGCCGGCAGCGATGAGCACCGTGTTGCACCCCAAGGCCTGTAGCTCTCTGCTGGACCTCTCTTGGACCGCCGTCCTGGTGGGCGTATGGTACTTTAGCAACTTCCAGTTTGGCTTTGGACTGAAGCGCACCAGCAAGCGGTTTCAAAACCCGGAGCTGTGCGTGTTCCTGCTCTGGGTGCTGTTCACTGTGGGGTGGGCGGTGGCGGCAGCCGTCAGGCTCGTCTATAAGCAGCTGGTCACCAGGCGGGCCGACGGTGCAGCGAGCCCTAGAAAGGCCGCGGATGATTTGGCTGACAGCCAGCGCCAGGCATGCGACGACGAGGCTGCAGTGGCAGGCAACCATCTGATGACGGTAGTGGCGCATACTCTGGGCATGAGCTTCACCTGCTTGGCATTCATTGCCGGCAGCGTGCCGGTCGTCCAGGTGATCAAGGCGTTCTGCCTCAGCCTGGCTGGATGCCATGATGGCCTCAATTTGATGTGAAAGTGTGTGGAAGTGCAGCGCTGGTGGCCACATGCCCAATTGTTGCATCATGTTGCTGGCTCCAGGTGTTCAAGAGCCTGGCACCCATTTTCACAACTGTCCTGTCCATGTGCTACCTGAACGCCGTGTTCCCCTACTCGGCGGTGGCTGCGGTGCGAGGGGCGGGGGCGCCGCTCATTTTGCGGGCCTGTCCAGGGGACGCGAAGTTGGTGGGCTCACACCTTGACCCTGTACTGCATGCAGGTGATGCTGCTTGTCGGCGGCGCCACTCTGTCCAGCTGGAACACGCCTGGGTTCAAGTGAGGGCAAGGCAGCTGTTCCCTGTATGCTGGGTATGTGTGTCTCTGTCCACTTCCTGCGCCCACCACCTGTTTGCACATGCAACTGGATAGCACACATGCTGTTCTGCGGCCCCCAACACATGCACAACGTTGGCGCCCGCCGCCCTTTGCAGCCTAATGGCCGTGCTGATGTGCATGGTGACCAACCTGTCGCTGCCGCTGCGCAATGTGATGGTCAAGCAGCGCACCGTGCTGCGGCAGAGCCAGCTGGCGGTGCTGGGCAAGGCGGGGCCCAACTCGGTGCGCCTGGCGCTGGACACAGCGGTGGACCTCAACTTTGGGGGCATGCTCATCCTGACCCCGCTCTGCCTCGTCTTCATGAGCTCGCTGGAGGTGCCGGCCGAGGATGCCAGCATTGCGCTGCGGTTGGGCATGCACCGCATCGTGTATGAGATCGCCTCGCTCATGGTGCTGACTCGCATAGACGCCGTCATGCACGGCTCGCTGGACGTTCTCAAACGCGCGGCAATGACGCGTGAGTGCTCATGGGTGTGGGTGCGATGCGCTGGGCACATGTGCAGGGCGTGTGCACGGATGGCGGCTTGGCGCCAATCTTGCTTCTGCCGCCAACTTCCCGCCCTGAGTGCCCCTGTCAGCCACCCTGTCCCTGCTGATCTTGAGCGAGCCCGTGCCTACAACACAAGCCACGTGTGCCTTGCTTCTGCAGTCATCGCCCTCGCAAGCTTCGAGTCTGTGCGCCCGTTCAACCTGGCTGGCTCGCTGCTTGCCTTTGGCACCCTGCTCTGGTACAAGCTGTCGCTGTCCAGGCAGGCATCAGCCAGCGCCTCAGGGTTGGCATTTTACCTTCCAGAAAGGTGGCGAGGAAGAGTGGCGAGGCTGCTGAAGCTTGCGCTGTGCTGTGTCACCACCTTTGCCTTGAGGTTATTTATCCAGGCACACATGCAACGGCCATCGCCGATAGCGTGAAGCTGCCTTGCCTGCGACGCCTGCTTCTCTATCATGTCAAGGATGCCGCACACATGGCTTGTTTTGTAGGCTGATTGATAGCAGCCCCAATCGCCTGTGCTTGCATCCCCTTGGTTTCAGCACTGCCTCAGCACTACCTGCCATTTGTTAACTCAGAATTGTGAGACGCTGCATACGTTGGCAGCCTGCCAAGCAGCAAAGTTGCCATGGCGTACACTTGAGCCAATAAATGAGCAGACCCAAAACACATTTGCACTGTGTGGGTGGCTGTCTGAAGTAAGTCTTGCAACGCTTAACTGTTACCCGGCTGGTAAACAAACATTTTTGGTGGGTCATGCATCTGCTAGGCGCGCTATGCCCGGGTTCAGCGGGATGCCCAGCCGCTCAAACTCGCGTGCATACTCTCGCGCCACCTCCCGCCGCCGCACATCAAACTTGTCGCCGAAGCTGGGCACCGACTCAATAAATTCAAATAGGTCAAAGGTGTCTGGGTTGAGCTTGGCCTTATCCAAGATAACGGAAGGTATTGCCATGGCATCCGCCAGCTCGTTGATCCGCAGGTCGGTGGCAACCACGATGCCGGGCACCTCGGCCGCCACGCCCGCCATGGTGCCATGGATGCGGAAACTGAACACAAAGTCGCAGCAGGACTCAAGGCCGTCAAACCAGGACTGGGGGTCATAATAGTAGCGCACCCGACCCTCCTTCAAACACACGCCATGGTCGATTCGGAGGGCGTCCAGAATGCTCAAATCACGCTTGGTCTGAAGCACGACCACGCTGTTGGGGAACACCTTGAAGATGCGCTCAGCCAGCAGCTTGATCACTGGCTGCATGATGGCTTTCCGCTCAGCAGGGACAGCCGGCAGCGTGACCGCCAGGCGCAGCTTAGAGGTCCGCTGCCCCAGCACCGCGTCCCACTTCTGCTGGAGTGTTGCCCCCAGTCGCGGGTTGTGGTTGATGAGGAGGCTGGGGCAGCCCAGGACTAGTGGGGGAGGCAGCCCATTGGCCGTCATAATTGCCGCGGTGAACCTGCCGCGCGCGCTGACGAACCCGCCGGATAGCTGCACCCTTTTAAGGAAGTTGATCTGCTCGTGGAACAGCTTGATCTGGCTGGCGCCTGCCACGTCCAGCCCTGCCTCCGAGTCCTCGCCGTCGCCGCTGTCAGAGGGGCGCAGCTCGGTGTACTGCACTTGGCTGCCAAGGCCGACCAGCATGATGGGTGTGTTCTGCTGTTTCGCAACTTTCGTCATGAAAGTGGTGTAGCCCTTGAAGATCTTGTACCGGCTGAGGTTGGTCAGTATGTTGGCAGTGGGCATGAGGACGGCATGCACGGCTGCCGTATGCGGCGGTTCCGCAAGCGAGACCAGCTCTGTGGCGTTGGGGTCCAGCAGCATTCGTGCCCCAAGATCCTGCAAGGCCAAGAGCATGGCACATGGGCATCGGCACGCTGCGTCCCCATCTGCCCGCCTGCACTCACTCGCATGGACAGGCGTGCCGCATACCGCAGCCACATGCCTGGCCCCACCAACTCACCCAGATCATGTTGCCCGAGTTGTCTGTGGCAATCTCCTGCGCTTCCGCGATGAGCAACCCGGATGGCGGGCGCTCACGTCGCAATGCATGGCCAGCCCAGCCAATCGGCAGCTTGGTGCCGCCGCTGTCAGACACACGTTTATGTTGGGAGGTGGTTTGCTGCTGCTTGCCCATCAGCGTGCTAGCCAGCACCACACTGCCTACGGCCAGCGCAAGGGCAGCCAGCCGCAGCTGGCGCACAAAGCCGCGAGGCGCACGGCTGCCGGGAGCGGCTGCGACCATTGATGCATGTGTGGCCCGCGGCGCAAGCAGACCTGCAGGGGCATAGGGCAGCACATGCAGCAGGGGTGGCAGAGTCTGAAAGAGCACGACCGTGCAACCTGCACAAGGCCATACCTGGCTTCAATTAGACATGCAACCGAAGACCGGCGGTCAGGGCACGTGGTGCAGCAAAAAGTACTGCAATAAATGAAACGACGATCCAATGTGACGACAGCTACATCAATGAGGAATGCTACATCAATGAGGAATGCGTGGGGCGGGGTGGAAGGCGGCGGCAGTGGCGGCGGCAGCAAGGCAGATTGGGCGACAGTTGTGTCCAGCGGTCGGTTAGGTATCTCGAAGCAGTGGGACGCACCTTTTATTCAAAGCGCGCGTCCGTGGGGAGGTTTGAGTGCGGTTGTCAGGCGCAAAGACCAGGTCAGGCGTTTGAGCGAGGTTTACGGAAGCACACTATTTGCGTGGACGATTAATAGATTGAGTGCAGAGCCCGGCAGCGCGGCAGCAACTGTACCGCCTGGCGGCTCTCCCCGGTCTCCCTGGCGAGATCGATGGAAATAATGAACTGGGGAATTAATGGCCATTGCTGAGAAATGCCCTGCCTGGCTGCTGCAACGGAGACTTGACAGGACGTGCCCATTTCCTGGGGCTTGCATGCTCATTTCCTGTGTGTGAATGTGAAAAAGTGCAGCAATGACAGAAACAGTTGTTTTTCTGCAAGTCCCTCTAAGACAGCCGGGAGCAGCCAATGGCAGGTGGGCATGCCCACGATAACTTGAAAGCCCATTGCTTGGCTCCATCATGCTCGAGCATGCTTGGAATTACATCGCACTGGCAGATGACCCCACTGACCTGATACTCCTGCCAATCTGGTGCAAGAGAGTCGAACAGGCCAGGGAGCGGCAACCATGATATGCCACTGCCGCCTCCTGACTGGAAGCGATGTGGACCCAGCCCATTTTCCGGAGTCAAATGGTTACATGCTGTGACAGGAATGTCAAACAGTGAGATCCTCACATTACAATGAACCTTCTATCAGGCCAAGCTCATTCCTCCTCGGCTGCCAATTCTGAATCTTCAAGGCGCGCTATGCTAGCAATGCCCGGGTTCAGCGGGACGCCCAGCCGCTTGAACTCGCGTGCATACACCTTGGCCACCTCCCGCCGCCGCGCATCAAACTTGTTGCCATAGCTGGGCACCGACTCAATGAAATCAAACAGGTCAAAGGACTCAGGCTTGAGGTTGGCTTTGTCCATGTCAATGGTCGGTATGATCATCGAATCGGCGAGCTCCCTGATCCGCAGGTCGGTGGCAATGACGAGGCCAGGCACCTCGGACGCCACGCCCGCCATGGTGCCGTGGATGCGGAAGCCAAACACAAAGTCAAAGGACGACTTGAGGCTGTCAAACCAGGACTGGGGGTCGTAGTAGTAGCGCACCCGACCCTCCCGCAAATACAAATCGTGCCGCTCATGGAACCAATCCAGCGTGTCAATATCGCGCTTGGTCTGCAGGATGGCCACGCTGTTGGGGAACACCTTGAAGATTCGATCCGAGAGCATCTGGACTATCGGTCTGAAAAAGTCTTCCAACTCGCCAGGAACTGCCGGCATCGTGATGGCAAGCCGCAAGTTGGGGTCACGCTGCCGAAGAACCGCGTCCCACTTCTGCTGAAGTGTTGCTCCCAGCCGCGGGTTGTGATTAAGGAACAGGCTGGGGCAGCCCAGGGGCAGCGGTGGGGGCAGGCCATTGGCTGTTATAACCGCGGCAGTGAGCCTGCCGCGCGCTGTCATGATGCCGCCAGATGCCAGCACCCGTTTAAGGAAGCTGACTTGCTCCGGGGGAAGCTGCACCTCGCTGGCGCGTGAGACATCCAACCCTGCTGCCTCAGTGCCGGTGCTGGAAGGGCGCAGGTCATCAAACTGCACCTGGGTGCCAATGCCGATCACCAGAATAGGGGTATCCGGGGGCTGGGCCCGTGCGATGGTGGCAATGACCTTGGTGTAGTCCTGGAAATACTTGTACATGCTCAGGTTGGTCAGCAGGTTGGCGGTGGGCATGAGGACGGCGTGCACGGCTGCCCTGTGTGGCGGTGCTGAAAGCGAGACCAGCTCGGTGGCATTGTGGTCCACCAAATTGCGAGCGCCCAGGGACCACATCATGTTGCCAAAGTTGTCGGAGACCACCTTGCTTGCTTCCTGAAGGGAGAGCCCCGAGGGCAGGCGTCCCTCGTTGAACTTTCGGCCAACCCAGCCAACACGAACCTTGCCGCCGCTGCGGGACAAAAGAGTATCGGCGGAGGCGCGCCCCTTGACCATCAGCGTCCACAGCAGCACGATGCTTAACACCGAAGCCACAGCCAACTGCAGGTGGCGGCTGCTCTTGGTGTTGCCGCCGTGCGGGCGGCTGGCTACCATAATCGCTGCGTGCCGCCAACCACGAGTGCCAACCTGCAGAACAAGTGCAGGGTGTGGTCGGGGGCCTGCTGGCGCAAGGCAGCCATTGGCCATCAGCAGTGTGCATCAGCTTGCACCAGCAGTTGATGGCAAACGGTGTGCAATGCTGATGGTCAGGAACATGCTGATGCGCTGCACGGACTACTGGAGCAGCAGGCAGCCTCACCGAGCGCCTGAACCGCTCCAACTGAAACGAGCAGTGAAGCGCCGCGGTCCCCACCAGTGTGCTCAGGTGGCTGCTGCAACAACAACAGTTGCACTGGATAAGTCCGAACTTGTAGACTGAGCTTAGGAGCAGAAGGTTCCCAAAGACTTGAAGGATCAGGGTGCAGTCGCGCCACAGACTGGGCAGGCCACCTCTGCTCTCTCTGGCAACCCGTCAACACATTCGTGCCGCTGTGAGTTGGCGCCGCGCGACCGTACTGCAACCAACTGCAGCACGCCAGGCGCGGCTGGTTCAATCTCATTGAGGCCTCCAATCGCATACATGCTTCAATCTCACGACCTGCAGAACGATGTCGGCCGTGCACGTCGAGCCCATAACTCAACTTCCTGATTTCAGCTGAAAAAACACATAGCATCTTCGCTCAGCTTCTGACCGGCGCCTCTCAGTGGAGGGAATGTGCAAACCAGCGAACGCACCGCTCACTGTACAGCCACTGCATGTTTGACCGCTGCAGCGGAATGACTGCCCCCTGATTGCTATGGTTCGACTGTGCTCATGCAAGCAATGTATTACACGCAGCAGCTGGCCTAGCAGGTTTACTAATGCCGGGTGCGATACGCTAACCGCCGCCAGCATGACCTGCAAGGACTGGCAGGGGGTGCGCTGGTGGTGATGAATCACGCTGGAAACTAGCGAAACACACATGGAAGCACAGTGGGCAGCCCACCTTCTGCGGTTCCTTTGCCTCTTTGCCTTCCTGCTGAATGATTTGCACGCCATACGTGACACCGCATATGCTGTGTCGCCCGCCACTGGTACCTGAAAGAAGCGTGGCAGAACGCAGTTGTTGGTTGTAGCATGGCCGCCACAGCCTCTGCGTGCTCATGATCGCGGGGCTGTTGCTGACAATACCAATGGTGCTAAAAGCACTACAAGCGGAGTCATCTGGCTTACGCGACCTTGGTGCTAATGCCGTCGGCAGTAGCGTTGGTGACATTCAGTAGCGCAGTGAAGCCACTCTGGCCAGACATCACACTGGCCAGATGACCCCACTGACCTGATACTCGTGCCAATCTGGTGCAAGAGAGTCGAGCAGGCCAGGAAGTGGAAATCGCGATATGCCTGCTGACTGGCAGAAATGTGATGTCTGTCAAATCCCAGTCCATTCTGCGAATAAAATGGTTACATGCTGCGACAGGAATGTCAAACAGTGACATTGTTACATCACAATGACACCTTCTATCAGGCCAAGCTCATTCCTCCTCGGCTGCCAATTCTGAATCTTTAAGGCGTGCTATGCTAGCAATGCCCGGGTTCAGCGGGACGCCCAGCCGCTTGAACTCGCGTGCATACACCTTGGCCACCTCCCGCCGCCGCGCATCAAACTTGTTGCCATAGCTGGGCACCGACTCAATGAAATCAAACAGGTCAAAGGACTCAGGCTTGAGGTTGGCTTTGTCCATGTCAATGGTCGGTATGATCATCGAATCGGCGAGCTCCCTGATCCGCAGGTCGGTGGCAATGACGAGGCCAGGCACCTCGGACGCCACGCCCGCCATGGTGCCGTGGATGCGGAAGCCAAACACAAAGTCAAAGGACGACTTGAGGCTGTCAAACCAGGACTGGGGGTCGTAGTAGTAACGCACCCGACCCTCCCGCAAATACAAATCGTGCCGCTCATGGAACCAATCCAGCGTGTCAATATCGCGCTTGGTCTGCAGGATGGCCACGCTGTTGGGGAACACCTTGAAGATTCGATCCGAGAGCATCTGGACTATCGGTCTGAAAAAGTCTTCCAACTCGCCAGGAACTGCCGGCATCGTGATGGCAAGCCGCAAGTTGGGGTCACGCTGCCGAAGAACCGCGTCCCACTTCTGCTGAAGTCTTGCTCCCAGCCGCGGGTTGTGATTAAGGAACAGGCTGGGGCAGCCCAGGGGCAGCGGTGGGGGCAGGCCACTGGCTGTTATAACAGCGGCAGTGAGCCTGCCCCGCGTCGTGATGATGCCGCCAGATGCCAGCACCCGTTTAAGGAAGCTGACTTGCTCCGGGGGAAGCTGCACCTCGCTGGCGCGTGAGACATCCAACCTTGCTGCCTCAGTGCCGGTGCTGGAAGGGCGCAGGTCATCAAACTGCACCTGGGTGCCAATGCCGATCACCAGAATAGGGGTATCCGGGGGCTGGGCCCGGGCGATGGTGGCAATGACCTTGGTGTAGCCCTGGAAATACTTGTACATGCTCAGGTTGGTCAGCAGGTTGGCGGTGGGCATGAGGACGGCGTGCACGCCAGGCAGAGTGAATGGCGGCCGAAGCAGGTTGACCAGCTCGGTGGCATTGTGGTCCACCAGATGGCGAGCGCCCAGGGCCCACATCAGGTTGCCAAAGTTGTCGGATGCCACCTTGGTCGCCTCCTCAAGGGAGAGCCCCGAGGGCGGGCGTCCCTCATTGAAGTCGTGGCCAACCCAGCCAACCAAAACTTTGACGTTGCCGCGGAAGGAAAGAGTGTCTGCCGGGATGGCACCCTTGCTCATCACCGTACACAGCAGCACGGTGCCCAACATCGCAGCCAAAGCCATCTGCAGGCGGCAGCTGCTCCCGGTATTGCCGCCGTGCAGGCGGCTGACTACCATAATCGCTGCGTGCCACCAACCACGATTGCCAACCTGCAGAACAATTGCAGGGTGTGGTTGGGGGCCGGTGGCGAACGTCACGTGCAGCCATGGCCATCAGGTGCACATCAGCTTGCACATCATTTATGTTCATGGTCAGAAGTACGCTGATGCGCTGAACGGACTACTGGAGCAGCAGGCAGCCTCACCTAGCGCCTGAACCGCTCCAACTGAAACGAGCAGTGAAGCGCCGCGGTCCCCATCAGTGCTCTCAGGTGGCTGCTGCAACAATAACAGGCGCACAGGACTTAGCCCCAACTTGAAGAGCGAGCTGCCTGAGGAAGTGGTGGGTGGTCAAGCCTCCCGTTCGACCACCTCCCTCCCTATTCCAAACAGGTGAGTACACCGGTGTGAAGTTGAGTGTGTCGGCGACAGCGACCGAACCCGGTCCAGAGTGTACTGCAACAACTGCCAGTACACCTGCTTGCACACAACCAGAAGAACTGAACACCGCCCAATCATCTGGCGCCTCGCCCAATCGCCCCCCCTGGGGATTCATAGTTCAAGTTTGTTTACAGCATCTGCACTCTTTCTGACCAGCGCGTCTCAGTAGAGGGGATATGCAAACCAGCAATGCACCGCTCATACGAACAGCTGTGAGCAGCTCAATATTACAGTGCAAATGCTTGACCGCCAGCGCTGTGTTCGACATCTTGATTGATGATGCTGTGATGCAACTGTGCTAATGTATTACAAGCAACAACTGGTCTCGCAATGTAGTCATGCCATGGGATAGTAGAAGTAGCATGAAATTCATTCTGGGCTGCCAAGCTCGGTGCTGTTGGACCCCACCAGCCAGGCAAGGCTGATGACAAGCCGATCGATCAGCGCATGAGAAGTAGAAACATTCATGCTGTTCTGAATGGAATGAAGTAGTGAAAGTGCAAGATTCAGTTGCTGCCCCGCAGCGGGCACAGCATAGTGCTCTGCCGCTGCAGTTCTGTTCTTGGTCTTGTCAGGCAAGGTGGTGGACAGCTGGGATGGGGTGGCGGCGGCAGATCGGAAAGGTTAGACAGTGGTTGCACAGCTATTGAGCTCGGTGAGAGACATCAACCCCGCCATCATGACCTGCAAAGATTGACAGGGGGTGGGCTGGTTCACCATGCCGGAAGTTAGCGAAACGCACATACAGGCACAGTGGGCAGCCCCTTCTGAGTTTCGTCTGCCGCTTTGCCTTCCTGCTGAATGATTTGCACCCGTACGTGGCACCGCACATGCTGCGTCACCCACCACTGGTACCTGGAAGGAGGCATAGCAGTTGTTGGTTGTAGCCTGCATGCTCGGCGCTCACGGGGCTGGAATTGGCCAGGTTCTTGAGCTGACAATACCAGGGCTTCAAAAAGGGCTACGCCTGAGGCTACATCATGCACTGGAAGCCGTATCATCTGACTACGCTACCATGATGCTAGCGCGGTTGTCATTGGTGGCATTAGTAGTGCAGTAGTACCACAAGATTAGCCAGAGACGCAGCTCACTTGCGCCACTCCTGCGTGCTCGTAAGTTCCGAGGTACCTGCAGAACCGGGCGCAGAGCAGGATAACAGGCTTGAGTGTGCAGAATGCACATCAGGTGGCGTGCAAGGCGACACAGACGGCTTTGTCCCTTGTAGCGTGGCACACATGAGATATACTGTGGCGTCCCCACTTCTTTCGGGCACTCCTGAACGGCAAGGTGCAGCCAGGGCGCTTGTAGTGCCGGGCAGTGCCCTGTCCTGAAACCATGTGTCCCTGCGGAAATGCGAGCACGCCCATGTTACAGGCAGAGGCAGCGTGCCTGCGGGCGGAGAGTAGTGGTACCAATGTGGGAAGCTAGCACAAATGGACTGCGATAGACACTGGGGATACCGCCAGCCACCAGCGTCTATGTACCAACTCCACGTCTTTGCTCCCCCTTGGTCAGCGCTGGCTTCCAGGGCACATGCAGCTGTTGGCGGACTTGCAGCACGCAAGACAGGCATGCGGGAGGGTATGTTGATTAGCACCCCCTGAATAAGGCAGCTACATCCGTATCCAAGCGCAGCAGAGCAGAACAAACAACTGTTCTGTGTAAACACTGTCTGCAACAAAAATGCCGCACCAGCGCTCTGCCCCACCGCCGCCGCTGCTGCTGCTGCTGCTGCCAGAACTGGCTTGTGAAGCCCATGGCACTCTTCAAGTTCCCTTCACTCCCTTCCCTTGCCCACCCTGTGTATGAATGATGGCGCTAGTCAATCGAAAGGACTGCGACGCCTGCTGGCAGGCGGTAGCCATGCCCGTCCCTGCGCCCCACAGCAGCTTCAGACATCCCCAGATAAATGAAAGAATCAAGGCCTGACTTCCCTTCGGAATTTCGCTGCTCCGTTGCGGAAATCTGCATGTACATGTATGTGACACGTGGAATCTTTCCATTCCTCTCCTCTCTTCTGGGCTCTGGAACGCCCACCCACCAGGCCCAGTGCAACGCTCGCACCCTTAATTCCGCCCGTGAGGCCTGCGCAGGAAGCCACCCCGCCAGGCAGGGCGCGCCAACTATGCAGTCGGGCCAACAGGCCCAGCAGCCCGTGTCGATGGACGTGGAGGAGAAGGTGCGGTGGCCGAGAGCTTCCTGGTGCATGATCGCGCTGTGCAGAGAGAGCCACGGGCTTTCGTGCCCCGGCTGTGGAACGCAGTTCAGGGGCTAGGCGATCGTGCGGCAGACAACCCGGGAGGGAGCCTTGCGGCGGTGCAAACACCAGGGCCGGCATGTGCGCCCCTCACACCCCTGCAGGCGCGGAAATGGCACCAGCTGAACCACAGGCGGTATGCGGACAAGCGGAAGTTCGGCTATGTGCAGGCGGAGAAGGAGCAGATGCCACCGGGTGAGGGGCGGCGGCGGCGGCGGCGGCGGCGGCGGCGGGTGACGCCCTGCAGGCTGGGTGGCGGTCACCCCTGACCAGCCACCTGTGCTTGCCCTGCAGAACACGTGCGGCTGATCATCCGAGACCACGGCGACATGTCGTCCCGCAAATACAGGTGCGTGCCTGGCTGCCCTCCACAGCCTGCCATATGGAGGAGCAGCGTGGCCCTAGGACTGATGTATCTGTTGTGAATGCCGCACAGCGTTGAATGGGTGCCCCTCGCGGTTGGCTGCACTGCCCCAATACTACGACTGTCCTCCTGCCTGCCCGCCTCCCCAGGCACGACAAGCGCGTGTACCTGGGAGCCCTCAAGTTTGTGCCGCACGCCATCTACAAGCTGCTGGAGAACATGCCCATGCCCTGGGAGCAGGTGCGCCCAGCCCGCGCCGCTCTTCGCCGCGCGTCCTGCGCAGGCGCCTGCCGCACGCCTGCGCCGCATGCGCCCGTTTCACGCGCCCTCTTGGCCCTGTCCCTGCTGCCGCGCAGGTGCGCCACGTCAACACGCTGTACCACGTCACCGGCGCCATCAGCTTTGTGGACGAGATCCCGCTGGTCATCGAGCCCGTCTACCTGGCGCAGTGGGGCTCCATGTGGATCATGATGCGCCGTGAGAAGCGCGACCGCCGCCACTTCAAGCGCATGCGCTTCCCGCCCTTTGACGACGAGGAGCCGCCGCTGGACTACGCCGACAACATCCTGGTGGGGCTGTGCGGCTGTGGGGCAGGGGCTGTTCGCATGGAGTGCGATGGCCTGGGGGTGGTGACGGCAGAGTGCTGGGCGGGGCGGGGGTGGTGGGGCAGGTGCGCAGCCATCTGGATGTGCCGCCGCACACAGTTTTTGGCTCCGCCTGCCCAGGCATCTGTCCTGCCCTTGCTTCCCGCAGGATGTGGACCCGCTGGAGGCGATCGAGCTGGAGCTGGATGAGGAGGAGGATGCGCCCGTGTTCAGGGTGGGTGGGCGGGGCAAGCAGGCGGGCAAGCAATGTGGGCAGGCAGGGCGGGCTGTGCGGGCAGCAATGCCAGGCCAAAGCAACGCTTTTGTTTGACCGCGCCGCCAGGCTGGGGATGCAGCCCGGGTGCAGCAGCCTCCGGTGGTGCCATTGAGTTGGCCTGGGGCTGGGCTCTGCGCTGGGATCTTGACCCCACCTGCTGCTGCTGCTGGTGCTGCTACTCTGCTCGGCTCGCTTGACTCCCCTGCCACGCCTGCCCACTGCAGTGGTTTTACGAGAACAAGCCGCTGCAGTACAGCAAGATGGTCAATGGGCCGTCGTACAAGCGGTGGAAGCTGCCGCTGCCCGTGATGGCCACGCTGTACCGCCTGGCGGGGCAGGTGCGCCGCCCTTTCCTCCTTTGCTCCTGCTGCTGCTGTAGGTGATGCCGAGTCTGGCACATGCGGCCACTCCCCTGCCTCTGCCTCGCCACCCGCGATTGGCCGCACCGCCGCTCTCACTCTTCGCCGCCTGCCTCGCCTGCCTTGCTTCCCCTGCCTCCCCCGCCCACATCCGCAGCTGCTGTCCGACCTGATCGACCGCAACTACTTCTACCTGTTTGACGTCAACTCCTTCATCACCGCCAAGTCGCTCAACATGTGCATCCCGGGGGGGCCCAAGTTTGAGCCGCTGTTCCGCGACATGGACACGCGGGACGAGGACTGGAACGAGTTCAACGACATCAACAAGCTCATCATCCGCACCCCCATCCGCACCGAGTACAAGGTGGGGAGGGATCGTGGGGAGGTGGGGTGATGGGCGGAGGAGTTGGGTCGGGCCGGGCCGCCGTGTGGGGTCAGCCAGGTGTAGGTGTGGGGTGGGTGGCTGGGTGTGGCTGGGGTACAATCCACACCCCCATCTGCAGTAGGTGCAAGGTGTGTATGCATTTGGCTTGGGCAGGCCTCAACAGGTGCCGGGTGAGGCCTTGCCGCCGGCACGCCCCACCACGTTCAGTTCATGCAACCAACCCGTCCCGTGCCGCCTCCGCCCTCCCTCCCAACCTCCACAGGTGGGCTTCCCCTACCTGTACAACAACCGGCCGCGCAAGGTGCGGCTGGGCGTGTACCACCACCCCATGGTGATGTACATCAAGGCGGAGGACCCAGATCTGCCCGCCTTCTATTACGATCCCCTCATCCATCCTATCGCCGCTTACAAAACCGACAGGTGGGCGATTCTGCATCGTTGTTCACCTCACCTCACATCTGCCTGTTCTCCCCTCTCTGGTTCTCATGCCTGCTTGCCTGGGCGCTGGCCTGCTGCAGGAAGGGGCGCCTGCCGGAGGAGGAGGAGGAGGAGGGCGAGGACGACTTTGTCCTGCCCGAGGGCGTGGAGCCCTTCCTGTCCTCAGCGCCGCTATACACAGGTGGGGTATGGCAAATACCTCCCGCCCACGCATGTCCGGAGCCGCTGCTGCCTGTTCACCCAAGCTGACTGCTCACCTCCGTACCCCGTCCACCCCGCCCGCACTGTTGCGATGCAGACACCACGGCGGCGGGCATCTCGCTTCTGTGGGCGCCGCGCCCCTTCAACCTGCGGTCGGGGCGCATGCGGCGCGCATGCGACGTGCCGCTGGTCAACCCCTGGTTCATGGAGCACTGCCCCACCACCTACCCCGTCAAGGTGCGGGTCAGCTACCAGAAGCTGCTCAAGAACTACGTGCTCAACCAGCTGCACCACAGGTGGGTGCGGGGCGCGTGGGGTGGGTGGCCAGTGAGCGGGTCATGGGGTGGCACAAGGTGTCGGTTGGTGTTGATTGCTGTTGAGTGCTGCGAGCGGCTAACATGCATGGTTGGGCGGACGAGTCAGGGTGCACGCTGGCGCGTTGAAACGATTTTTTCCCTGCCTCCAGGCCGCCCAAGAACCAGAAGAAGCGGTCCCTGTTCAAGTCGCTGGCCGCCACCAAGTTCTTCCAGCGCACCGAGCTGGACTGGGTGGAGGTTGGCCTGCAGGTGCGCCACCGCGGCACCCCCGGTTGCAGCACACCAGCCCGCTGGCATGCTGCTTGTGCCGGGTGTCAGCACCTGCCGTGTGCTGCTCTGGCAGCGAGTGTTCCATCAGGCTCGGCGCTCGGGGCCCGCCCACCTGCTCACCCCGCTGCCTGCTCTGCACGCTCTTCCTGCCTCCCCCCGCGCCGCCGCCCGCAGGTGTGCCGTCAGGGCTACAACATGCTTAACCTGCTCATCCACCGCAAGCACCTCAACTACCTGCACCTGGACTACAACTTCAACCTCAAGCCGGTCAAGACGCTGACCACCAAGGAGCGCAAGAAGTCGCGGTTTGGCAACGCCTTCCACCTGTGCCGCGAGGTGGGTGCGGCCGGCCAGCGGCTCGCGGCATGGGCGCACCGGGCTTGCCACAGTTCACCAAAGCACGAATCTGCCAGGCTGGGGTCCTGAGGACAGCATGCTGCAACTTAACTGATTTTGACAGAAACTAATCAATCGTAAACATTTTCTCACGGCACCCTGCCCTCCCTGCCTGCTCGCCCTGCAGATTCTGCGCCTGACCAAGCTGGTAGTGGATGCCAACGTGCAGTTCCGGCTGGGCAACGTGGACGCTTTCCAGCTGGCAGACGGCCTGCAGTACACCTTCTCCCACGTGGGCCAGCTCACGGGTGCGTGCAGGAGCCAGGGCATTGCCCTTCCCACCAGCAGCATGCTTGGCTGCGTGCCACAAACACATGGCCGGCTGTGTGGCAGGGGGAGGAGGAGGAGGATGGCCGGGTGTGTCCTTCCTATGCGTTGCCTCATTGTGTTGCCTGTGCGCCTTGTGTGTGTGCTGCAGGCATGTACCGCTATAAGTACAAGCTCATGCGCCAGGTGCGCATGTGCAAGGACCTCAAGCACCTCATCTACTACCGCTTCAACACGGGACCCGTGGGCAAGGTGGGTGGGGCTGGGCGGGGCTGGGCAGGGGGCTGGCGGTCATGTCGGGTCCTGTGGGATGCGCGTAGGTGCTGTTGTCTGTTCACTTTCCCATGGCTGCCATTTGCACATCCACGCGCACCCCACCACTACATCGCTCTTCTACCAGTCTGCTTGGGATTTGGCCAATCAGTGCTCCCCGTGGGCTGCTGCCTGCAGGGCCCCGGCGTGGGATTCTGGGCGCCGGCGTGGCGCGTCTGGCTCTTCTTCCTGCGCGGCATCGTGCCGCTGCTGGAGCGCTGGCTGGGCAACCTGCTGGCGCGGCAGTTTGAGGGGCGCCAGTCCAAGGTGAGTTGTGTCTCCTGTGTGTTTGGGGGTTGTGCATTGTGTCCTCCAGAGCAGAAGATAAGCGGCACCCACGCTGCTCGCATGGCGCGGGTGCGTCTGCGGCGGCCCCGCCCTTGGCGGGCTGCTGCCGTCTATGCCTTACCCCTGCCTGCCCCTCCTCGCCGCCCCTGCGATGCAGGGCATCGCCAAGACGGTCACCAAGCAGCGCATCGAGTCGCACTTTGACCTGGAGCTGCGTGCGGCGGTGATGCACGACATCCTGGACATGATGCCCGAGGGGGTGAAGCAGAACAAGGCCAAGACCATCCTGCAGCACCTGTCAGAGGCATGGCGGTGCTGGAAGGCGAACATCCCCTGGAAGGTGGGCGCGGGGCGGGGCCTGCTGGGGGAGGGTGTGGGCGTGTGCGAGGGTGTCTGAGGGTGTCTGAGGGTGTGGGCTTCTTCTGTTGTAGGCCGGGCACGAAACAAATTAAACAATTGCCGGGGGCTCGCTGACTTGCCCCTTGCCGCAGGTACCGGGATTGCCTGCTCCCATTGAAAACATGATCCTGCGCTATGTCAAGATGAAGGCTGACTGGTGAGTTGATCTGAGTTGTGCGAGGTGGTGGGAGGAGGGCAGCTGGCCTGGCTTGGCACAGCCCTGGGCAGCTGCTGGCCTCGGCCCTTCCACAGCACCCCCACCACGCAGGCTTGAATGTCACCACGTCGCCCCACCCCCCTGCAGGTGGACCAACGTGGCGCACTACAACCGTGAGCGCATCCGGCGGGGCGCGACCGTGGACAAGACGGTGTGCCGCAAGAACCTGGGCCGCCTCACGCGCCTCTACCTCAAGGCCGAGCAGGAGCGGCAGCACAACTACCTCAAGGTGGGCCCAGGGAGGCTGTGTCCAGGGAGGCTGTGTTGCAGGTTATCAAGGGGTCAGCTTGTAGGTGGGTGTGTGTCGCTGTTGGTGGTGATGGTGGTGTGGGTGTCTGGGTGGGGCTGGCGAGGGTGGGGGGGTGAGCACCCAGCGGCTGCCTGCCTGGTCTTTCCTGCCCTCATCATGTCTTGCCTTGTGGTCCCACCCCGGCCCCGTGCAGGACGGCCCCTATGTGACCCCCGAGGAGGCTGTGGCCATCTACACCACCACGGTGCACTGGCTGGAGAGCCGCAAGTTTGCGCCCATCCCCTTCCCGCCGCTGTCGTACAAGCACGACACCAAGCTGCTGATCCTGGCGCTGGAGCGGCTGAAGGAGCAGTACACGGTGGCGGTACGGCTCAACCAGCAGCAGCGCGAGGAGCTGGGCCTGATCGAGCAGGTGCGCCGAGGGCGGGGGATGGGCCTTTGGCGGCTGCGTGCTGGCCGGCAGCCGCCTGCAGCGGCTGTGGTTGCAGCGCCCACTTCCTTTCCTGCTGTGCTGCTGTCCATGCGCTGGATGCCTCCAGCCTGCATCTGCCAGCTGCCTCGCTCCCATGCTCCCTACTGGCCAGCCGCTGCCTTACTTCCCACCCCATCGTCAAAAGCTACCTCCACTGCTCCATCACCCCGCACGTTCTTCCCTGCGTCACCCGCCCTGCAGGCGTACGACAACCCGCACGAGGCGCTGTCGCGCATCAAGCGCCACCTGCTCACCCAGCGCTCCTTCAAGGAGGTGGCCATCGAGTTCTTCGACCTGTACTCCCACCTGGTGCCCGTGTACGAGATCGAGCCGCTGGAGAAGATCACAGACTGCTACCTGGACCAGGTGGGGGCGCTGGCTTGGCTTGGCCCTGCTCCTGCTTGGCTTGGCCCTGCTCCTGCTGCCGCTGTGGCTGGGGGCCGCTTTGCTCCTGCTGCTGCTCCTGGAGTGCCTGGGGTCTTGGATTCGCGATGTGCAGTGCTAGACACCCCTCGGCTGCATTGCCTGCGGTGTTTTATTTATCACGTGCAGCGATAATGAGCGGCTCGCATCGCACTGAAAGGTCGCTCTGCATGCTGACGGGCACCTCCTCCCCGGCTGCTCCCGCAGTACCTGTGGTACGAGTCGGACAAGCGCCACCTCTTCCCCAACTGGATCAAGCCCGGTGACAGCGAGCCGCCGCCGCTGCTGGTCTACAAGTGGTGCCAGGGCATCAACAACCTGACCGACGTGTGGGACACATCGGCGGGCGAGTGCGTGGTCATGATGCAGGTGGGCTTGCTTGCGCGTTGTGCTGCTCGCGGGAAGGGGTGTGCCTGTGTGTGGGCGGGGCCTCCCGGAGGGCCAGCCCCTTGGCGTTGGCGTGCAGCAGGGAGCTGTGCCCGCGCACGTGCAGCCGTCTCGAGACTGCAGCGCGGAGCGTGTTCCCCACTCTGTGTGCTGCTCATGTGGGGTTGCTCTGGCTGCGCGCCCGCCCCCGGCCCTCTCCCCTTTTGGCGGTACAGTCCACCATGGAGAAGCTGTGGGAGAAGGTGGACCTCACCCTGCTCAACCGCCTGCTGCGCCTCATCGTGGACCACAACATTGCAGACTACATGACCTGTGAGTTGGGGGTGGTGTGTGGGTGGTGGTGGTGGTGGTGGAGGGGTTGTGTTTGGGAGGGGGGGTCCTTTGACGGGAGGGAGGGCTGCTTGCTGTTGGGGTTGTCGGCCATGTTTTCCTCGATTGTTTTGGCCTAATCCGTTGCACGAAACCCGGCTGGCGCGTGGCGCCGGCAGAGGGGGCCGTTCTGCTGACGTGGCTGGACGTGCGCACGCGTGCTTTTTGCTCTGCACTCGCGGAAACTTACTATCCGCCGCGATAAGCACGCCCGCGACCCAAAAAATGACCCCACAACTGACCGGAAACGCCCTTGGCCCACCCCTGCAGCCAAGAACAACATCGTCATCAGTTATAAGGATATGGCCCACACCAACTCCTACGGGATCATCCGCGGCCTGCAGTTTGCCTCCTTCATCACCCAGTATTACGGCCTGGTGCTGGACCTGCTGCTGCTGGGCCTCACGCGTGGCTCGGGTGCGCTGCGGGGCGCTGTGGATGTGCACTGGCCAGAGAGAGATGTTGCATTGCCAGGGGGGACTGATGGGATTGATGGTATGCCGACAGTGCAGGGCATGCTGTGCACTGAGAAACAGCAAAGACCCGCCACGGTCCGGGACAGCACAAGCAGAAGTTGGAAGCCCGGAAGCGCTTACTGAACCTGTCTCCCTGCCTGGCCCTCCTCTCGCTGCAGAGATTGCGGGGGCACCCAACCTGCCGAACGAGTTCCTGACCTTCCGCGATGCACGCACCGAGGCGCGGCACCCGATCCGCCTGTACCAGCGGTACACGAACAAGGTGCGGCGGCGTGGCGGGTGGTCCCTGTCAGAGCAGGGCCGCGGCATTGTGGCTTGGCCCGCTGGCTGCCGCCTCTGGCCGACCAGGCGGTGGCTTTCATGCATGCTGCTCCGAGACGGCTGTCTGCTGCTGCTGAGCGCTGCTCAATCATGTTGCCGCCGCCCCCTGCTGCAATGTGCCAGGTGCACATCCTGTTCCGGTTTGCGGCGGAGGAGGCCAAGGACCTGATCCAGCGCTACCTCACCGAGCACCCCGACCCCAACAACGAGAACATCGTGGGGTACAACAACAAGAAGTGAGCCAAGGCAGCCCCTTTTGCCTCGCCTGTGTGCATGCCGCACCTGCCCTTTGCGTCGCTCCCTGCGTCAGCAGCCAGCGCCCGCGGCCCAACCCTGTTTTGGGTCCAAACCTTGGGTCTTTCCCCTGCCCGCCCCTGCGCAGGTGCTGGCCCCGCGACGCTCGCATGCGGCTGATGAAGCACGACGTCAACCTGGGGCGGGCGGTGTTCTGGGACATGAAGAACCGGCTGCCGCGCTCGCTGTCCACCTTTGACTGGGACAACTCCTTTGTGTCGGTCTACTCCAAGGACAACCCCAACCTGCTGTTCTCCATGTCGGGCTTCGAGGTGATGGGAGGGGTGGGGTGTGGGGGCGCAGCAAGGAGGTGTAGTGCTGGCTGGGGGCTGCTGAGGCCGTGGGGGATTTCCTGGGCAAGACGCCATAGTCCTGGGCTTGCCACCGGTGCTGTTGCTGCACAGCCCTGCATCTGGGCACCGAGCTGGGCTCTGCCTGCCTGCACAGCACGCACCCATTCCGGCCGTATCCGCGCACACAACACCCTGCAGGTGCGCATCTTGCCCAAGGTTCGCATGGCGGCGGAGGGGCTGGCGCACAAGGACGGCGTGTGGAGCCTGCAGAACGAGGTCACCAAGGAGCGCACCGCTCAGGTGCGGGCCTGCCTGGCCGCGGGACAGGTCAAAACACCCATGCCCCTCAACTTGTTGTTGGGGATGGGCCGCCAGCCCGGCTCTCTTCAAAGGCTGCACGAGGCTGACCCTCCCCCTCCCCTCCGCTCAGGCCTTCCTGCGCGTGGATGATGAGGGGCTCAAGGCGTTTGAGAACCGCGTGCGCCAGGTGCTCATGTCCTCCGGCTCCACCACCTTCACCAAGATCGCCAACAAGTGAGGCTGGGGGCCATGTGCTGTGTGTGAATGGTGGCTGTGGAGGTGATTTGTATGTGTTTGGGTCTGTGTGTGCTCCCTTGGGCGAGTATGCAATCAAGAAGGAATCTTGTGTGCATCGCGCGTGTTGGCCGCCATGCGCACCCCCTTGAAAATGACAGGAAAGCAAAGTTGGTGCCGCCCCGTCGTGCCTGCTCCTCCCGCAGGTGGAACACGGCGCTGATTGGGCTGATGACGTACTACCGGGAGGCCACGGTGCACACCCAGGAGCTGCTGGACCTGCTGGTGAAGTGCGAGAACAAGATCCAGACGGTGCGCCTCCTGCCCTTGCACCCACTTCCCTGCTTCCCTTGTGCACATGCTCTATCCTCCTGCCCTCGCACACGCTTCCCCCCTGTCCTAGCCGTGCTTCCCTCCTCACTTCTGTGGCGTTGACAGTACCGGCTGGCTTCTGCACGGCTGCCTGGAGCCTTGCTCACACGCTGCGCCTGGCCCCGCCGCCCGCCGCCCTCCTTGCGCCGCGCCCCCGCAGCGCATCAAGATTGGGCTCAACTCCAAGATGCCTTCCCGCTTCCCGCCCGTCGTCTTCTACTCACCCAAGGAGATTGGCGGGCTGGGCATGCTGTCCATGGGCCACATCCTCATCCCGCAGTCAGACCTGCGCTACTCGCAGCAGACCGACCTTGGCGTGACGCACTTCCGGGCGGGTGCGTGGCGCGGCGCGGCGGCTTGTGGGGCTGCAGCTGGCGGGTCGCGGGGCCTGCGTGCCCACGCCCTGAGCCTGTACAATCCTTGCCCCGGCTAGCCCCTTGCCCACCCCTGCACACATGCCCGCACTGCCCTGCCTTGTGCACGCATGCATGCAGGCATGACGCACGACGAGGATCAGCTGATCCCCAACCTGTACCGCTACATCCAGCCCTGGGAGAGCGAGTTCATCGACTCGCAGCGCGTGTGGGCGGAGTACGCGCTCAAGCGGCAGGAGGCGCTGGCGCAGGTGGGGCTCGCCGGGCGGCAGGGCAGCACGGCTGGTTGGGCTGGCTGGCAGCGGCGCGGCTGGTGTGTTATGTGGTGCTTTGCATGCTCTCTCTCTGGCGAGGCATGTGTGCAGCAGCGTTGTCTCGGTGCAGCGTCCCGGCACGGTTCACCCCAGCCGCGCGCTGACCTGCCCGCCCTTTGATCCGCCTGCCCCGCGCCGCTCCGCCCCGCAGAACCGGCGGCTGACCCTGGAGGACCTGGAGGACAGCTGGGACCGCGGCATCCCGCGCATCAACACCCTGTTCCAGAAGGATCGCCACACGTTGGCATACGACAAGGGCTGGCGCATCCGCCAGGAGTTCAAGCAGTACCAGCAGGTAGGGTTGAGGGTGCGGCCCGGGCCAGGGGCGTGGCGGCGGGGTCCTGGGCTGCAAGCAGCGCTGGCATTCGGTCCTGAGTGGGCTCTCGGTGTTGGTGGGGTGGTGATGGAGGCTTGCAGGGCGCCGCCATTCACCTGCCTCATGGCGGTGCAGCCACTCCCGCAAATAAACACCTCCCGCATGAATGCACCTCTCGCAGGCGCGCGTCAACCCCTTCTGGTGGACTCATCAGCGCCACGACGGAAAGCTTTGGAACCTCAACAATTACCGCACCGATGTCATCCAGGTGGGGTGCACGCGCATTGCTCCTGCTTTTAGTTTGCATGGTTTTGACCATGGATACCATGGATATAGTCGACGCCTGAGAGGCGCCCGCGGTACCCGTCAACCTCCTGCCCTGTGCTTTCATCCAGGCGTTGGGTGGCGTGGAGGGCGTCCTGGAGCACACCCTGTTCAAGGGCACCTACTTCCCCACCTGGGAGGGCCTGTTCTGGGAGAAGGCGTCCGGTGAGGCGGGCTCCGCGCGCCGTTGAGTTGGATCAGCGCAGCTGTGCTTCCTCTTTGTCAGCTGCACTGCCATGTGCTGAGGCCTGCATTTGCTGCGGCTGTCCCCCGTGCCCGTGCGTGTCCTCCCAGGGTTTGAGGAGAGCATGAAGTACAAGAAGCTGACCAACGCGCAGCGCAGCGGCCTCAACCAGATCCCCAACCGCCGCTTCACACTCTGGTGGTCCCCCACCATCAACCGCGCCAACGTGTATGTGGGCTTCCAAGTGCAGCTGGACCTGACGGGTGAGGGAGAGAGCGGGTCAGATGGGCAGGGCACGGCAGGGCAGGGCAGAGGACCAGCACGGTCGTGGATGTGGCACTCGTAACGGGCCCACGTTTGCCAGTACCCTCATGTGTCTGGCCTCCCTTGTGACCCTGCTGCCCCCGCACCCCGCCCTGCAGGCATCTTCATGCACGGTAAGATCCCCACACTCAAGATCTCGCTCATCCAAATCTTCCGCGCCCATCTGTGGCAGAAGGTCCACGAGTCCCTGGTGCGTCTCTTCCCCGTTTGGCCTTTTCTTTCTATGTTTTAGTTGTTTGCACAAGCTGCAGGCCGCACCCTTTCCTTCACCACCTGGCCTCCCACTCCCTGCTCATGCCGGAGCCCCTGCCTGCCCCTCCACCCCCCACCCCACCCCACCCATGCAGGTCATGGACCTGTGCCAGGTGTTTGACCAGGAGCTGGATGCGCTGGAGATTGAGACGGTGCAGAAGGAGACCATCCACCCGCGCAAGTCGTACAAGATGAACTCCTCCTGCGCCGGTGAGCCTGCTTGGTTGACTGTCGAGCCATCCTTCAGGAGGGGAATGGAATCAAATGAGACCAGGGAGGCAGAGCCAATTCAGGGGATGCAGAGCAACCCCCTCCCTTTCCCATTCCGCAACCTTGCCCTGCCCCCTGCAGACATCCTGCTGTTTGCCGCCTACAAGTGGCCCATGTCCAAGCCCTCGCTGATGGCCGACACCAACGACGTGTTTGATCAGAAGCCCTCCAACAAGTACTGGGTGGATGTGCAGGTGGGTGGGGCAGGTTGCTGGGTGGATGCTCGGGCGGGTGGGGCTGGGCGAGCGCAGCTTCAGCACACCAAACACCGCGGCATCCCCACACACCGCCCACCCTGCACCCACACCCACACATCTCGCCCCCTGCGCGCCGCCCCCCGCAGCTGCGCTGGGGCGACTACGACAGCCACGACGTGGAGCGGTACACGCGGGCCAAGTTCCTGGACTACACCACAGACAACATGTCCATCTACCCCTCCCCCACGGGCGTCATGGTGGGTGCTGGCCGCAGGCAGCCCCCGCACTGCAACAATGCCGGCACCTCAAAGCAACAGTGCCTTTGAAACAACACGACGGCAGGCGGCGGGGGCGCCTGCCGAAAAGCACATTTGACGGCTGACCGCCTGCGCTTCTCTCCCTTGCTGCCGCAGGTGGGCATCGACCTGGCCTACAACCTGCACTCCTCCTTTGGCAACTGGTTCCCGGGCGCCAAGCCGCTCATCATCCAGGTGCGGCGTGGTGGCCTGCTGGTGTGGCCTGGCGGTGCTGCATGGTGTTGTGGCCGAGGGCACTCTCCTATCGGATCTCGATTGAGAGCAGATGCATGGGGCACTGGCGTGCTCGACCGCCGCCACCCGCACTCACAACGTCCACCTCCCTCGCACTCGCTCTCCCACACCGGCACACCCCGTTCCCATCCACACCCACACCCACGTTTATCCCGCCACACCCACGCCTGCCCCTGCTGCCCCCCGCAGGCCCTGGCCAAGATCATGAAGTGCAACCCCGCCATGTATGTGCTGCGCGAGCGCGTGCGCAAGGCGCTGCAGCTCTACTCCTCGGAGCCCACCGAGCCCTACCTGTCCTCCCAGAACTACGGGGAGCTCTTCTCCAACCAGATCATCTGGTGAGGCTGGCCGACTGTGTCTGTGGTAGGGCGGGGAGCCGGGTCTCATCAGGGATGGGCTGCCCACCTGGATGGTGGCTGCTCGTTTCCGGCCCCTGCCAGCATTGGGGGCTCGTTGGCCTTGTCGATCTGGTGCAAACTCGCCGTCCGTGCCGCCTGGTATGTTCTGCAGGTTTGTGGACGACACTAACGTGTACCGCGTGACCATCCACAAAACCTTTGAGGGCAACCTGGTGGGCTGCTGGGGAGGACAGCGGATGGGTGCTGTTCCCATGTGCCGCTTAATGATGCGCCGTGCTGCCTTGCTGCACCTCTGCTGCTGCGCCTGGCTGCGATACCGGCAACCCTCCTGCCCCTGCCTGACCTGTGTGCCGCTGCGCCCATCTGCTGCTCTTCAGACCACCAAGCCCATCAATGGAGCCATCTTCATCTTCAACCCGCGCACGGGCCAGCTCTTCCTGAAGATCATCCACACCAGGTGGGTGGGCAGGAAGCCGCCCTAGCAGACAAGTACGGCAGCCCTGCTGTGTCAATGGCGCGAGTGCCTGACATCCAGCCTGACATCTGGCTGAGCATGCACTTTCCATCCGCTTCCTGGCCGCAGCGTGTGGGCGGGGCAGAAGCGGCTGTCGCAGCTGGCCAAGTGGAAGACGGCTGAGGAGGTGGCGGCGCTGATTCGGTCGCTGCCTGTTGAGGAGCAGCCCAAGCGCATCATCTGCAGCCGCAAGGTGCGGCCGCCACTGGTAGCTGCTGCCACAAGAGCGTTCAGCTGGCCCCACGTCGCGCGGCCCCCCACTCCTTCCCTCGGCGGGACATTAGGCCGTGCCATGCTGCGCTGACGTGGCGCCACTGCTGTGGTGGGGTGGGGTGCAGGGCATGCTGGACCCCCTGGAGGTCCACCTCCTCGACTTCCCCAACATTGTCATCACCGGCTCCGAGCTGCAGCTGCCCTTCCAGGCAAGCGGAAGAAGGGGCACGACGCGCCAGCATGCTGCGCGTGCTGTGCTGGCCGCCTCTCAAATGAGCTGGTCAAGCGTGTGACGTGTGTTTGTTTTCTCGTGCTGTTTGGTATCTGCAGGCGGCGCTGAAGATTGAGAAGTTTGGTGACCTGATCCTGAAGGCCACCGAGCCGCAGATGCTGCTGTTCAACCTGTACGACGACTGGCTTAAAACTATCTCCTCCTACACCGCCTTCTCCCGCCTCGTCCTCATCCTGCGTGCCCTGCACGTCAACGTTGACAAGGTGGGCAGCTGCTGTGTCGGCGCGCACATGGCTGATTTGGTGGTGACGGTTGTGTGTGGGGGATGGCTGATTTGGTGGGGGGATATTACCATGGTGACTGGGTGCATGTGAGCGAGTCGGGGCCCTTGGTTGCTGTCTTTGCTTGCTCACCGCCCGCCGCTGGCCCTTTGTTTGACTGCCAAGCCCTCCACTCTCCGGCCACCCTCCATCGCCACCCCTGACCTGCCCTCCCTCCCTCCGCTCGTGCTTTCCACCCTTACAGGCCCGCATGGTGCTCAAGCCCGACAAGACAATAGTGACGGAGCCGCACCACATCTGGCCCAGCCTGACCGACGAGCAGTGGATCAAGGTGGAGATTGCGCTCAAGGACCTTATCCTGGCTGACTATGCCAAGAAGAACAACGTCAACGTGGCGGCGCTGACGCAGGTGCGGGGCTCTGCAGCCGGGCTGCGGCGGTGTTGGAGGTGGCCGGTGGCAATTGCAGCTTGGTGTAGCACAGCTGGCTGGAGGGCAGGCCACCCACCATGCTGCCCTGTGCGGCACCTGTGGCTAGCCGTGCCGTCCTGCGCTGCGGTGTCTTGCCCATCACCCACCTGCCCACCTGGCCCACACGCCCACCCACCTGCAGAGCGAGATCCGTGACATCATCCTGGGTGCCGAGATCACGCCGCCCAGCCAGCAGCGCCAGCAGATTGCGGAGATTGAGAAGCAGGCGCGGGAGGGCGGCCAGATGACGGCGCTGACCACCAAGACCACCAACGTCCACGGCGATGACCTCATCGTCACCACCACCTCGCCCTACGAGCAGGCAGCCTTTGGGTCCAAGACCGACTGGCGCGTGCGCGCCATCTCCGCAGCCAACCTCCACCTCCGCGTCAACCACATCTACGTCAACTCGGGTGGGGGCGGCTGCCTTGCTGTGCCTGAGCCAGGGGGGACTGGGTGGCAAGGCGGGGTTGGGCCTGCCTGCGCCCGCGCCTCAACACACGCCTGACGCAGTCAACTGTGGTGGGGCCCCTGCACCGGGTACCCAGCTGTCTGTACCTCCCCTTGCTATCTCTTCTTGTTTTGTCTCCAACCCACCTTTTGCTGCGGACACCATGGCTCCAACCTAGCCGAGCACGCGCTCTTCCTGCCTTCCCTCTCCTCCCTGCCACTGAGCAGGCGCCCCCCGCTGTTTTGCACCCCCACCCCCTGCCGCAGACGACATTCGTGACAGCGGGTACACGTATGTGATGCCCAAGAACCTGCTCAAGAAATTCATCACCGTGGCCGACCTGCGAACGCAGATCGCGGGCCTGCTGTACGGCGTGTCGCCGCCCGACAACCCGCAGGTGGCCTTGGCTCTGTGCATCAAAATGGTTCAAAACTCGCATGTTTGATTGCGCCATGTTGGGCCTGCATGCTGATGCCTCACCTGCCTGCGCGCACGGGCCTTGCCGCCGACCCAACCCATGCCCCCCCGCACATACACAACACACACACACACACTCCCCTCCCTCCAATCTGCAGGTCAAGGAGGTGCGGTGCATCGTGATGCCGCCCCAGTGGGGTAACCACCAGCTGGTCAACCTGCCCGGCGCACTGCCGGAACACGACTACCTGGCTGACCTGGAGCCCCTGGGCTGGCTGCACACCCAGCCCAACGAGACGCCACAGATGGCGCCGCAGGTGGGCTGGCGGCCCGGGGCTGTGGCATGGAGGAGCCCCGCTTGGAGCCGGCTGGCAGGCAGCAGCGGGGCCAGGGCAGGGCCTGGGGGTGTGGCTGGTGGCAGCCTGGCAGCCTGCCTTCTCCCTCCTCATCCTCAGTGGAGCTATCTCATCTGATCACTTGGGTGCCCGATGCCGAACAACCGAGCGATGGCTTCATACCACTGCAGGACGTGACTGCACACGCCAAGATGCTGGAGACGCACAAGAGCTGGGATGGCGAACGCTGCATCCTCATCACCTGCTCCTTCACCCCTGGCTCCGTCAGCCTCACCGCCTACAAGCTGACGCCGGCGGGGTACGAGTGGGGGCGCCAGAACAAGGACACCAGCGCCAACCCAGGCAAGCACGGGGTGGGGGTTGGTGCGTGGCACGGGGGTCTCAAGCGGGTCTCGGTTTGAGTGCTTCATCCGCCACAGCCCTCGAGTCCCGGGCAGGCAGGTCTGGGGGTGAAGTGTGGGGTGTGGGATGCAGCGGTGAGGCCCAGCCAGGCAGGCAGCAGCTGGTGGCACCAAGTTTGGCGCCTGTGTTTTGACGCCTGCCGCTTCCCCCCATGCCCCTGCCTGCAGTCGGGTACTCGCCCACGCACTACGAGAAGGTGCAGATGCTGCTGTCGGACCGCTTCATGGGCTGGTGAGAGTTGCCTGCCGCAAATGGCTCAGCGCCGCCTTCTGGGCAGACCGACATCGGGCCACGCCCTGCATCCCCGCCACATGCCGTCCGTCCCTGCCCTGCCCTGCCCAGTGCTTTGCCACACTGTAACGCCGCTGCTGGGCCCCTGCCCGCCCGCAGGTTCATGGTGCCGGACGTGGGCAGCTGGAACTTCGCCTTCAGCGGGGTGAAGTGGAGTGTGGGCATGAAGTACGGGCTGCGGCTGGCCAACCCCAAGGCCTTCTTTGACGAGGCCCACCGCGCGCACCACTTCCTGGAGTTCAATGCCATGGAGGAGGGGGCGGTGGAGGCCGACGTGCCAGACCACTTCTCGTGACCCCCGCCTGCCCTGTGGTGGCACGCACCGCGGAACGGTGATCGCCGATGGTTGGCCTCCCCTCCTTGCTTTCATTTGCTGCATGTCCTGCTCTCTGCTCCCTTTGGTTGCTCTCTTGCTTTCCTGTTGCTCTTAACACCAGTTTCAGCCAAATGTAATTCACTCAATTCATCTGCAATGCACGACCGGCACTGAGAGAACAGAGTCCAGGCCGGTAAACGGTAGCTACAGCCCTGGTATCGCATTATTGGCGTGATTTAAATCCAGGAAGCTAAAGCAAATGCCCAAGGTCATGCTGCATACTCCCCAGCTTTTATCCGCTGGCCATACGCGATGAGGTTGCCAAAGACGACATCTGCCAGCGCTGAGAACTGCCGGCCAAGAGCGGTGCCGTAGAAGAATTTGGGCCTCTCCTGCAGGACACAACAGCAAGGTGGCTTGGGGACCGAGTGGGTTCAGGGCGCAAACAGACCAAGGCAGTGCCTGTGAGCCTCCACAAAGTGCAGCACAACAACAATTACCCGCTCCAGCGCCGCCTGGTGCCTCTGCAAGGCATCCTTGGGCATTCTCCTGCAACCCAACAGCCAAACATCCACACATTTAGTGTCCCACCCTGCCTTTTCAACAGTACACACAGGCTGGCAGACAGCGCACATGCATCAAATACACATGGCGCTGCGATACAACTCACCGCAGGTATTCATACGCCGCTGGCAGGTCTGGAACAGCAACAGTTGCAAACCCAACATCCGCAGACTGGTACCACTTTTGCTGTTTGGACCGACAGTCAGGACTCTCCAGCCAGCTGGGCTCCGACGTAATGTTGAGGAACACCGCCATGGAGGCCCAATCAACCTCGCCGCGGTGGAAAGGTATCTCATGCCAGGGCGGCCCAATGAACTGCAGAAAACAGCGACAAGCACGAGACACGTGTTGGCCAGTGGCGGCGAGAATCATCCCCAACCCCCACGACTCTGCAAACATACAATTAAGCGTAGTGTTGCGCACCACGGGGATGCAGCCGGACAGAATGGCCTCCGACAGGCGGTTGCTACAGGGGTAGTCGCCTGGGGGAAGCAGGCAAAAGACAGAGTTTCGCATCTCCAGCTGCACTTCTGAGTACGACTTGGAATCCTTGGATGTGGTGCACATGACCTGCAACTAGGAGACAGAGTTGATGGCAACGATAACACCATGCAAGAAAACCAGCGGCTGGTCCTGACCTGGACGTCGGGCGCAGTGTCGTTGAAGGCAACAGCTGCGGAATATCGCATGAACTTGCCGCAGTTGTCGTTGCCCTTCTGGCACGAGGCAGCCATGTAAAGAAATGTTGGTCTCTGAGATCCCACAATGGGAGCTGCCAAATCCCCAACATCGGCCACTGCAGGCATCACAAAAACAAAGAACGAGGTGGGAGAAAAGTTGCAGGTAGGAGAAAAATAGCATGACAAGACCAGAATGCTTAGAAGCAGTGTTACGCATACATGCAGAGGTGTATTGAAAGTGGGTTGGAGCTAGCACAGCATCCCCGATTCCCACCATGCAGCACATCCCGCCTCCCTGCAACGCGAAACTCAATGTTCTCGCCTGTGCAAAAGGGCACCATTTGTGTCTCCCGCAGAGCGAGTTTTGGCCGCAAATCGGGGCAGGTTACTAATTTGTCTGGGATCAGGGTGTGGGAGCGAAGCATGTCGGTGCACAGCTTTGAAAACGGCGCGCCAGGTCTGCCATCTCGTATGGGAAGGGAAAACACGTAATCGCGCCCCTGACGTTTCTGCAGCACACAACATACCAAGCACAGCGATGGATGGATCATCTTTCACCAACGCAACGAGCTGGCACCGGGCTGGTCAGACTGTGCACCTGAAACCGGGCAGAGCTGGTAACATAATCAAGGGCTTGGGCATAAATGTCAAACACATGGCTTTCGTTGTGAGTATAACCCTTAAGCCAACTCGATCGTAATTTGATAGCTCTCTGAATGATAAACCACTGCACAAAACGACCACGGAACGCAAGCAGTTCAGGACACATGAACTATGTTTCGACCTGGAAATGCATGGGTGTGACCACCTGACCTGATGATAGCAGTATGTGTCCACCCAGACCAGGCATGCCTCGTCGATGTTGTCAGTCAGCACGCCGCTGGCATTTCTGAGCGCCTGTGTCAGCCAGTACTGCCCGGCATACTGGAAGTGCATGTGCGGCATCGCCTTCATGTGCTGCATGCTCCACGGCAGCTCCCCCGGCTCGGCAAGAGGCCACACCTGCAGTTCCATCGCATTGGAGATACACATCTGAGCTGGCATGGCAAACAGCATCACAAGGCACTCACGAACGGCCTCAGGGCCGCACATGATCATCCTGACCTTTGGGTCATTGATGTCGCACTGAGGTATTCCCAGCGCAGGGGCAACATCCGTAGAGAGATCCAGGATGTAGATCTTGCAGTCGCGCACCGCATGCCAGGGCGGCGGCAAGGAGGCCTGCAAACAACGATCCAAAGAAGCACTTGTCAAGAAAGTCATGTGGGGCTCCATGGCTGAGCACGAGGTGAGTGTGCGGAGCAAAAACAAACATCGATGCTAGCCAAAGAGTGAATCTCTCGCCCTACCTGCGAACCTGGCTGCCCCTGACAGGTGGCGGGAGTGGCATGTTGGCTAGGCGGGGATGGCAGAGTGCCCGCGTAGAGACCCCAAACCAGGAGGAGTCCTGCGAATGGCCAGGCCAAGTGCTCGACATGCCTGGAAGGGCAGCTAAGTATGTGAAGACAAGGCCGAGGCCCTGGCACAGGTAGGCCTCCCGGTAAGGATGTGCCCCATGATGGGCATGATGGCCCCCCACCTGGAGGGTCATTGGGGACATCATCCTCAATCATGCATCATTCTCCCTCCCGTTTGTTCTGTTGGCATCCCAGCAACCGTAATATGCTTTCTAGGACATGAGCCACCACTTTAGGGTGAAGGTGGTTAGCAAGACCACGGCCCCCAGGCCTCTAGACGGGCCACAGCCAAAAAGATCCCGTGCAAGTAGACCAGGACAACAAGCTCCCTTCAATGTGCCAGGGCAGGCCAGGCGGCGGGGTGAGAGGGATGACAACGAGGATGAGCGAGCACCCAGCGGCTTCTTAGGCTGGGGCGACCGGCAAGGACGCAAACGTGATCACTGGGAGGCTCGGCTCGGAGCGGACGTGGATGCCTTCTTGGCCTCTCTGCCGGGCCGGGCGGCGCAGCAGCGGCAGGAGCGCCAGCAGCAGCTCCAGCAGCGGCAAGCCCAGCTGGCCAGCATGGAGCCGCTTCCTTGCCACTTAGCAGCAGAAAATGGCAGCTGCTGTGAGTTGCACAAGACGGGCAGCCAGGCAGCTGTGTTTTATGGGCCGCTCGGCGTGGTGGGCAGGCTCACGTTGCCGGTATGGGAGTGCAAGACGCATGGGCGCCCCAATATCACCGTGCACCCTCTCCAGATCAGCTGTGTGCCGACTGCGCCAGTCAATAACACCAAGCTGCTTGATGTGGAGC